ATGACTCAATTGGGATTTACAGACATCTACAGGACATTCTATCCAAACACAAAAGAATTGTCTTTTCAGCACCACATGAAACCTTCTCTAAAACCAACCACATACTTGGCAAAATAGCAAAATTCAACAGGGTACAAAAAAATTGAAATAACCCCCTGTGTCTTATCAGACTACCATGCTTTAAAGTTAGAATTCAAGAACAACACAAATTGCAGAAAACCTACCAACTCAAGGAAATTGAACAATGTGATTTGCTCCAATCCAGGGTCAAGGAAGAAATAAAGAAAGAAATTAAAGACTTCCTAGAATTCAATGAAAATTTAGACACAACATATCCAAACTTATGGGACACTTTGAAAGCAGTACTAACAGGAAAGTTCATAGTTCTAACTACTCACATGAAGAAACTAGAGAACACTCACACAAGAAAGTTGACATCACAAATGAAAGCTCTAGAATAAATGGAAGCAAATACACACAGGAGGAGTAGACACCAGGAAATAATCAAACGGAGGGCAGAAATAAATAAAGTCAAAACAAAGAAAGCAATTCAAAGAATCAATATAACAAAAGAGTTGATTCTTTGAGAAAATCAGCAAGATAGACAAATCTTTATCCAAGCTAACAAAAAGGCAGAGAGAGAGAACATGCAAATTAAAAAAAATCAGAAATGAAAAGGGGGACATAACAACATACACCGAGGAAATCCAGGGAATCTTCAGGTCATACTTTGAAAACCTGTACTCCACAAAATTGGAAAATTTAAAAGAAAGTGACAATTTTCTGGACAGATATCACTTACCAAAATTGAATTAAGTACAGATAAGCATTTTAAGCAGACCTATATTCCCTAAGGAAATAGAAACAGTCATTAAAAGTCTCCCAAACAAAAAAAGTCCATGACCAGATGGCTTTAGTGCAGAATTCTACCTGAAATTTAAAGACAAGTTAAGACCAATACTCCTCAAATTGTTCCACAAAATAGAAGCAGAAGGTTCATTGCCAAACTCTTTTTATGAGGCTGCAATTACCTTGGTACCCAAGCCACACAGAGACACAGCTAAGAAAGAGAAGTAAAGAACAATATCTTTAATGAACATTGATTCAAAAATACTCAATAAAATACTGGCAAATCGAATCCAAGAACAAATCAGCAAAACCATCCACCATGATCAAGTAGGCGTCATTCTCTGGATGCAGGGTTGTTTCAACATTCAAAAAAATCTATCAATGAAATCCACCATATAAACAAACTGATGAAGAAAAACCACATGATCATCTCACTAGATACTGGAAAAGCCTTTCCAACACCCCTTCATGATAACAGACCTGGAGAGATCATGGATAACCAGAACATGCCTGAACAATGAGAAAACAATATACAGTAAACCAACGGCCAACATCAACCTAAATGGAGAGAAACTCAACATGATTTCTATAAAATCAAGATCAAGACCAGACACACTCTCCATATCTGAATATTGTACTTGAAGTGCTTACTATAGCAATAAGATAACAAAAGTGGATCAAAGGGATATCAATTGGAAAGGAAGAAATTAAACTTTCACAGTTTGCAGATGATTTGATAGTTTACATACGTCACCCAAAACACTCTACAGGGAACTCCTACAGCAAAGTTGCAGGATACAAGATTAAATAAAAAAAAAATCATCAGTCCTACAATGTAAAGATGATAAGAGGGCTGAGAAAGAAATCAGAGAAACGTCACCCTTTACAATAGCCACAAACAACATGAAATATCTTGGGGTATCACTAACCAAAAAAGTGAAAGTCCTGTATAGCAATAACTTTGACTCTTTAAAAAAAGAAATTAGTGAAGAAACCAGAAAATGGAAAGATATCCCATGATCTTGGATAGGTAGGATCAACATAGGAAAAATGGCAATCTTGCCAAAAGCAATCTACAGATTCAATGCAATCCCCATCAAAATACCAGAACAATTCTTCACAGACCTTGAAAGAACAATACTCAAATTTATATGGAGAAACAAAAGACCCAGGATAGCCAAAACAACCCTGTACAATAAGGGAAATTCCAGAGGCATCACTATCCCTCACTTCAAGTTCTATTATAGAGCTATAGTCCTAAAAACAGCTTGGTATTGCAACAAAAACAGACAGGTAGATCAATAGAATCATATTGAAAACCTTGATATTAACTCACATACTTAAAAACACCTGATTTTGACAAAGAAGCTAAAGTTATACAATGGAATAAAGAAAGCATCTTCAACAAATGGTTCTGGCATAACTGAATGCTGGCATGTAGAAGACTGCAGATAGAACCATGTCTATCACCACATAGAAAATTTAAGTGCAAGTGGATAAAAGACTGAAACATAAATCCAGCCACACTGAAACTTCTAGAAGAGAAAGTGGGAGATACCCTTCAGTGAATTTGTACGGGTAACCTCTTCCTGAACATTATAACTGTAGCACAAACACTGAGATCAACAATAAATGGGACCTCCTGAAACTGAGAAGCTTCTGTTAGGCAAAAAAACACAGTCAGCAAGACAAAATGGCAGCCCACAGAATGGGAAAATATATTCACCAACCCCCACATTCGACAGAGGGCTGATCTCCAAAATTCACTAAGAATTCAAGAAGTGGGGTACAGAACTAAATAAAGAATTCTCAATAGAGGAATCTAAAATCTCTGACAGACACATAAGATAGTGTTCAACATCCTTAGCCATCAGGGAAATGCAAATCAAAACAACTCTGAGATACCATGTTACTCCCATCAGAATAGCTAAAATCAAAAACACCAATGATAACTTATGCTGGAGAGTATGTGGAGAAAGGGGAACACTCCTCCACTGCTGGTGGGACTGCCAACTTGTACAACCACTTTGGAAATCATTATGGCTCTTCCTCAGGATCAGTCTAGAACAAAATCCAGGAATTTCACCCTTAGGCATATATCCAAAAGAAGCACATTCATACAACAAGGACATCTGGTCAACTACATTCATAGTATCATTATTTGTAATATCCAAAACCTGGAAACAACCTAGATACCCCTCAATGAAGAATGGATACAGAAAATGTGGTACATTTACACAATGGAGTGCTACTCAGTGGGAAAAAAAAGAATCATGGAATTTGAAGGCAAATAGATTGAACTAGAAGAAACCATTATGAGCAAGGTATCCCAGTCACAAAAAGACAAAGATGGTTTCTACTCAATGCATATATGGATTGTAGACATGCAGCAAAGGATTACCAGTTTACAATCCACACCACCAGAGAAGCTAGGAAACAAGGAGGACTCTAAGATAGAAATACATGGTCCCCTGGAGAAGGGGAAAGGGACAAGATCTCCTGAGCAAATTGGGAACATGGGGGTTGGGGGAAGGGAACTAGGAGAATGAGAAGAGGAGAAGAGGATGGGTGAGGAGGAAAAAAGTTAGCAGGAAGGTTGTGTAGGGGGAAGAATAAAGGAAAACAAAATTAGAGACACCATCAGAGAGGGAGCCATTTTAGGGTTAAAGAGAAATCAGTCACTTGGGAAATGTCCATACATCTACAAGGATGACACCAACTAACCATCTAAACAACAGTGGAGAGGCTACCTTAAATGCCCTCCCCTGATAATGAGATTAAGGACCAACTGAAATGCCATCCTAGAGCCTTCATCCAACAGCTAAGGAAGTAGAAGCAGATACCCACAACTAAACACTGAACTGAACTGGAATCCAGTTGCAGAACAGGAAGAGCGATGAGCTAAGTGATCAAGACCAGGCTGGCGAAACCCAAAGAAACAGCTGAGCTGATTAAGGGGGTTTCTTTGTCCCCAGACTGATCACTGGGAAACCAGAATGGAACTGATCGAGACCCCATGAATATGAGTGTCAGTGAGGAGTCCTCAGAAATCTATGGGGCCTCTTCTAGTTGATCAGTACTTATCCCTAGCATAGGAATAGACTTTGGGAGCCAATTTCACATAGATACTCTCTCAGCCTAGACACACAGGGGAGGGCATAGACCCTATTGCAAAGGATATGACAGACTTAAAGTCCCCCGCATGGAAGGCTCACCTTCCCTGGGGAACAGAAATGGTATGGGATAGGGAGGGTGTTAGTGGGGGAAAGGGGAGGAGGGAGGGAGTAGGAACTGGGACTGACATGTAAAACAATCGTGTTTCTAATTTAAATAAATGAAATGGAGAAGATAGGGGGTGGAGTCAAGAACAGCATAACAAACAGTAGTCAAGAGTTTATACCCAGTTCAGAAGACAGAGACAGAAGATTCAGTTTGTCATAGGCTTCTGAAACCTCAAAGCCTACCTGCAATATCACATTTACTTCAACTATGTGATATCTTTTAATCCTTGTCAAACAATTTTGCTGGCTGGGGAGCAACATTCAAACACATGAGCCTGTGGTCACCATTCTCATCCAAACCACACCTTGAACTGAGCCTTTAAAAGCATTGTCATTTTCTATTTTCCTGTGTATTCAATACTCTCCTGATGCTATCATTTATATATAAATATAGATTGTTCTTAGGCTGACAGTATCTGCCTCATCCTTTCTCTGCCTCCTCCTTAGACCTACATGATGTATCACTGTCACTCTTTCTTATTTTCATGCATATTAGCTTTTTGTTACTCTCTTAGGCACTTGAGGAATATTTCATATATTATTTTGTTCTCTCCGTTCCTCATAAGTTCCTTTTAGTTTCTCACTCACCAATTTGAAACTAGCAACTTTCTTTTTTTAATATAGTGGTGAATATTTGCATCACATTAATATTTATCACTTTTTAAACCCCAAGTTTGAAGGGACCCTTTTGCCATTGTTGTTTCCTTAATGTTAAAATCAGAACACCATATGTAGCCATACATGGCATTGTAGAATATCATGGGTTCTTTAAAAGTCTAGGATATAGAAGGTATTAGATTAATGTTTCTTCACAATAAGAGATAACAACATTCTATAAATTATATAACATTCTATAAATGTTCCGTTTATCCAATGTAGATACCCTTCGAGGTCACTGTCCCCAGGGTATGTCCTAGTGGCATAGGGGAGCATAGTGCCCTCCCCCGTGATGTACAGTCCTTTTCCACGATGTTGTTTATGAAGCTTGGCTTTGATTCTGTGCCTGTATATTCCTATGATTTTATAGAGCCCTGTGGATGGTGACTGAGGAGACAACCATTGCAGGAAACAAAAATCTGAGGTGCTAAGGGTTTCAGTGTTCCATTTTTGGGAATCTAAAGTTTGTGCTTCTTTTTGAAAAAAATAATGTTCTGTTTATAACAAAAACAGATCTTTTCAATGAAAAACAAAGTCTTTAAGAACTGTAGATTTTTATTTCCAAAAAATTCTCAACAAATTTGTAAGAATTATCAATTCTTCTCAAATTGTCTTTCCTATGTGGTCCAACAAAGAAATGATAATCCTATGAAGGACTAAAGTAGCTGGGAACAGCAGCTAGGCTCAGGCAAGGGTAAGCTATACTGGGTATGCCTGAAACCTATAAGTATAAAAGAATTAGAATCATTAAGTCAGGTTAAATCAGTATCTTAAATATTTATCTCCTCTTTACATAGTTCATTACCACTGTCACAGCAAAGGCTTTTGTAATTTCTTACCTGTAATGTTTCAATTATCATTTTATAATGTGCCCGAAGTTAATATTTCTATAACTCATCCTTTCTTCACACATTCATCAATTAATCTGTTATAGTAAGTTTGACTAAGTCCCTCTCTGGTTCAGTATCATTTATTTGCTTTATGGCACCTCCATCGTAATGTCCATAACTTCCCAACCTCACAAAGTGCTTGCTGTGTTACCTGATTTTTCTGCATTCTCAATGCAATTATTGGATCCTACAGCACTTCAGCTTTCAGGGAGAGATCTCAGGACATGTTCTAGCTGCTCAACTTCCCTCTAGACTTGTTTAATCTCCTTTAATGTAGTTTTTGCATGTAATGCTGAGTGTTACATCTCAGCCTCAAATACCTTATGTATAAAAGTGCTACAAAAATAAAGTGTGACATGCAGTTGCTTCTATTTTGCCTCTCCTGTGTTCTGATTTTGATGAGACCTTAACCAGGGACCCCAACACACTGAACATTGACACTGAATATAAACGCAGGTCCTGATGCATAGTATCAGACAATCTTAATCCTGGAATAATCTTATAGCCCCTGTTGTATCATTTTTATTTAATGATTATGATGATGAGCTTAAATATATAAATTTCATTCTTTTACCTAATCATCCATGCGGCAATATTTTCATTCTTCCTTTAATATAAAAATATGTTTAAGGGTTACTTACATACACTGAGTATATTACCTCACACCCATGCCAACTGCTGTCCCTCCCAAGTATACTTTACGCTGTTAATGAGAAACAATTTTTTTCTTATATTGCAATCTAGTTTTATCACAATTTTGAATGTTACTTTTAGGAAACAAATTGTTGTACTTGAAGTCTGTGGAATAATCCTTTTGTACACTGTGAAGATGTTTTGCTCTCATTGGTTTAATAAAGAGCCAACTGGTCAATAGCTAGGTAGAGAGAGAGGATAGGCAGGAGAGCCATATATAGAGAGAATGATGGGAAGAAGAAGAGTGAGCGTCACAAAGAAGGCACAGAGGAAGGAGGAGATGGACATGCCATGATAAAAAAAAAAGATACCAACATGAGGTAGAGTGTACATAAGAAATATGGGTTAAGCTGAAAGAGCTAATAAGTAACAAGCCTAAGCTATTGGCTGAGCATATGTAATTAATTAATCTCTGTGTGGTTATTTTGGACCAGGCTAGTAGCACTGAAAAACCTGTTACATTTGAGAGCTTTGCTAGTTTATAATGGAGACTGCTAGTTAACATTTTATTTTCTCTTCCTAAAAAAGTCTTTGATTAAGTATTTAACATTATTAATTTAAGCTTTATAATATTCAACCATTTGAAAAATATGTTTGGATATATGTATTGAGTTATATATCTTATACTATATCTTTTAAAGATGAGACTGCATCATGGTTTTCAGATAAAATTTGAGGATAATGAAAGTAACTAATCAATTGTAGAAATATACATTTGCTTACCCATTAAAAGCAAGAAATCTTCCTCTTTTACTTTATTTACTATTGTTTACTGAAATTATCAACCATTGGATTAGAATTGTTGAGAAATTTGAAATATCTAGGTATTTGGAATTAGATATGAAAAGTCCTCCTGGTCTTTTTATAGGGACATTATTTGAAAACAGTTTCCATTACTGTATAAAAATACTCCACAAGACAATAATTCTGTAGGTGATTACTTTAGACTCATCAATTCATCTGTTTAAAGTCTAGCACTAATAAGGTCTGAACAATCAATTTTGTCCCACATTGATCCTTTTGATGTAGTTGATTTCTACTTAATGTCTTAGGTAATTTTTTTGCAAATGTATACTTTAGACTATGAGATGGACTTAGCTAAATGACTGATCAATTAAAACCTGTCACAGTTATTTAAAATTTAACCTACATTATTTCCAAAATACCTTTTTATTAATATTAATAATCTAATAATAATATGTAATTTTTATAGCAGTCAGCTCTCCCACATGAGTATTGGAATTCTAATAATTAAATCAGCAGTCATTTTCAACAACACTGTTAGGGTGGATAAAATAAATGCTTTGTTTATTTAAAATTGATGTAAATTCTTTCTTAAAATACATAAAATCACTAAGCCATTTTTTGATACTAATAATGTTAAAATATCTTTTTTGACAATTATTAATACTGCACATTTCTATTATTTCATCATATTATTTTTACAACAGATTATTATTTTCTCCTTTCAAATTTTGCATTTGCATTAGTCAGATCTATAGTGTAAACAAAATAATTGCTAACTGCATGGATTTGTTGTAGATTTTTATAGGTTAAGTTTACCAGCTAAGAAGTAGAAACCACATTTACCTGGTACATTTCACAATAATATGATTTATGAGCATCAATAAGTAATTACAAGACTAAGGAGATACCTTTGATGGTACAGTCTTTGTTTTGTAATCATATGCCCTCCAGTTTGATCCCAGATCCCATCTGAAAACAAATGGGCATCCTGATGAGTACTTGTAATACAAGTACTCAAGCCCCAACAAGCAGCAGACCAATCAACACAAAGCAAGCCCTACAAGCCTGGAGGCACACCAATCCTGAGCCTGTGTGTACCACTAGACACTCCCCTTATGCTGCCCTATAAGATCTCTGTGCCATGGCTTCGAGGCATGTTTTTTAGCCATCTGCCATGGTGGATGGATGAAAGGCCTGAGCTAACATGGGGCTAGCTCATTAAACAACTGCAATAAAACCTCTTGCTGTTTGCATCAAGCTTTTACCTCCACATGGTGATTGGGGTGGCCATGGTCCTGGGCCAAGATTCTGGGGGCCAGAGCCTCCAGGGTCTTTCAGTTCCAGATGGATAAGTTGGCAACAATTGGCAGGCATGGAAGCAGGAAAAGGAATCTGTGAGCTAATATCTTAAGCTATAAGTATAGAATAGAGAACGTTTACTAGAACTGGGGTAAGACTTTAAACTCTGAAAGCCTAGATACCTACTTCCTCCAGTAAGGTCTCATTTTCTAAGCCTATGCAAGAGCCCCACTATCTATGAACCAAGTATACAAACACCTGTGGGAAGATTTCTCATTTAAAGCACTGAAATCTAACTCCATACCTCATATCCTTAATGCTCATATCAGAATATAAAATTAACTTGGTTCAATTTCCAATACCCCTATAGTCTTTCCCAGTCTTAATACTGCTTCGAAATTCAAAATCTAATGACTCTTCTGAGACTCAAAGTTATGTCTTAATTTTAATACTCCGCAAATCCAAAATGCAAATCATATCCAATTAATGACACACTATGTACAAAGTGGGTAATGACATCATAGTAAGGAAATACTGGACCAAAGCAAGACCATAAGCAAGCAAGAAAAACATTAATTCCTGTACTCCATAAATCTGGGACTTCAGTTTCAAATGTCTTAGAAGACTATCACTGTAGATTTTCTTTCTGTGATATAGACTTCTTTGTCAGACTGTTCCCACTTGTATGTGTACAGCTCTCTTTAGCAGATATCTCCTAGCCTTAGTATCTCCAACATTTTGCCTTCTCCACTGCAAACAAGGTTTCATATTCACAGTTCTGTCAGGTGGCCTGTCACAGCCTTGTGGGTCTGATTGTCTTTATGCCATGATATACTCTTGACACATACTGCCTGGCATTCTGAAACCTCAAAGGAAGAATCAATCAGTGATCCTTCACTACTGCAATCTTCATGCCTTTAGAGACAACAGCTGACAACGCTGCCAAATTCAGCTCCTAGCTCAGGATGGACCCTGGCAGCACTAGCTGCAGCAATTCAGTGGCATTCCTTAGAGTTGAAAGCATAGTTGGGTGGGGCCTTGCTCTGAGAGCACCCTGTCCTTTATTCTGGTCCAGAGGAGGCTTCTCCTTAATTATATTCATCTCCA